TATATATATATGACTTCCATAAAGTTTATACCACACATAGAAAAATAATTAAGTTCTCTCTCTTATTTACTGTATTTCCTATCTTACAATGTGCAAAGCCTCCCACAGGTATACGCCTCCTCATGAAAAATGAAGTCCCCACGTTAATGACACTGAATACATTCTTGTAGGCATGTGCTGCTTGCATGCAGCACAGGACGAGGTCCACTCTACAGAAATTCGTAACAGGAGATAGCGGTTGTCTTACTCAAACACTGATCTGTTGTAGTATGATCATAGATTTTAAAGGAGGAGGGAGAGAAATGCCATGTGGAAAATTAGGACTATGAGGTCCAATTATAATCCAATTTATGCAGCACAGAATCATCACAGTGGAGCAAGCAGGTATTGGAGATTCAATGAAAATGTAATTTGTGGGTTTTAAAAACAAGGAGGCAGTTTATACAAGCGCTTTTTGCTTTGTTTTTTTCTTTTGCACTGACAGGAGGCTGGTGAGATAGCAAGCGAGAATGTCTAATAGTTTAATGTCCCGGATTTGGATTTTATTATTTATTTAGAGTTGTCCTGAAGAAAGAGATTGAATAATTAACTCAGAATGGTTCTGTCATCATTTGTGGGATCTGGGATCATAAAGGTGCATTCTGTACGTTCGCTTTCACTCTTTTCTGTACTTGACAGTAATTTAGGGAACTTACTAAATCAGATACAGATAAATCTTGTAAAATTATTGTTCCGTTATCATTTTAAGTTTAAAAAAAAAGGTGATTTGTGAGATAAGGAAGATACTTTGAAGCATTGTTTCTCCAAGTCAAGACAAATATACAAATCTATATTCTTCATCTGGTCCCATCTGCAGTATGAAGGTTAATGAAAATGGTAGTTACATGTGGCCAATGATAAATGATAAGTCACAGAAATAATTCAAAGAAAAAAGGCCAAATGTATTTGAAGTTTTGAATAATGAACTTTCAGACATTAACAGCCTAGTTAGACTGAAGAATCATAAGTGCCCAGAGGTATTATCGTGGTAGAAACTGTAGCTGTTGATGTGACAGTTGATTTTCCTCCCAGCCTAATCCAACCTGAGCAGCATCAACCTTTAAGAAAAGCTGCTGCTTGTGCCAAATCATGATAGGCTCCTCTATCCTCGAGCAATAAACAGTAAATAAGAGTAGAGGCGCTTTCTATTGACACTCGATGCTTGCTTGGGTTTTCTATGCTGTACTGCACAAACTGGGAACAGTGGAATAAAATGTTCACTTTTCAGTGCTTTGAAGCACTCTGTACAACTGACTCCGTCTTCTGAAAATGGCTGGATTCAAGGTGGCCTAGAACAAAACTGACTTTCTAAATAAACGTATGCTATCGGGTAGGGTTTCCCCTTTGTGAACACTACACTCTAATACTGGGAAGATGATATAAGAGTGCACGGTTTTACAAGATATCTTGTAGCAGATGTCAAAGACTGACTTTGTGGCCATGTGTTGAGCTCAGCCCATCATTTCACACAGATGAAGAGGAGGTTGGACTGTCAGCTTCATACCATCTGGCAGTGCATTAGATCAGATGGTGAGGAGGCTGCAAAGCAAGCCTACTAAGCCAGAACACGTAGGGCTGAGTCTGCTGGGGATCCTGGTGATGGTCTCCGTCTACAGTAACACTGATCCCCTCAATGCCATCTTTAGCTCAGTGATACAAATTATGGTGAGTGTACTAAAAGTCTGGCTTACCCCAACTTTCCATTGTGACTGTAGAACTCCAAGGTTCTTTTTAGCTTTTGGCAAATATTTAATGGGTAATTAAAACGTCTTCCCAGTACTGCTGGATTTGGCCTAATATTATATAAGTGTGTCCTGAAAAATCTTCTTTTTTTTTAAAAACTTAAGGCAGCTTTAATCAGTGTTATTACAATGACAGTTGCTCACATGACTGCTTATATTTAAGTGCTTGCAGTTCTGAACCTAAAGAGTATTACTGGCTTTGCATTGTCCTCACTCTGAATGTTTTACGATCCATAACTGCAGTTTAGAAAAATAAATATTACCTGCAAAGCATCAATCAGCGGACGATGTTAGCATCCAGCTGCTGAATACCATCAAGTGTTAAGGAGCTGAAAAGCAACGGTTTGGTGGTACCAGTCCATGATGTAGAGCTGGGTTCACATGTTTTTCCACCGTTTATAAAAAAAAAAGAAAGAAAAAAAAGGCCCCCTTAAATTGGGACCCAAAGTGACATAAGTGTCTACACCAAGACACTGTCAGATACAGCCTCAATTTTCCTCCCACAGAAACAACACCTACTTCTACTGGGAACACTTCATGATATTAGATTCTCTGCCAAAATGTGTGCTGGTTCTCAAAAGGCACAATGGTAGAACTGGCTCAGCACCTCGTCTGCGGAAGAGAGGTTGCAAATGAAATCCCAAATGTAACTCATACGTTTGTTTTCTAAATGTAAAAAGCCATAATATATCCATGTCACTGCCATCAAGGGGCCAAATAACGTTACTGCAGTTCTCACAAGACAATCTCAGACCACTCAGCACAGCTACAAAAAGCAGAGCAACTGGCTTCTCCCGATAATCCACAGAGCTCAGAGAAGGGTATAATGGAATAGGATGGGATCTTTGTATCGGGTTGACAGGATGACTGGTGTCTCCCAGAAAGTCCTAGAGAGAGTGGATGCTTTTTGTTCTGCGTGCCCAGCTAAAACAGTTAGATGGCTTAAAACTAGATCATGTCTCTTACTAAAGTATTTAATGGGTTAGTATTTTATATTTACATACATCTAAAAGTATAAATGTTTACAGGTGAAATAAAGCATCCTTGGGTGCCAACACAGGCGATATGGATGGCTGTGAAATGGAGGGATCTCAAGTTCTAAAAATTAAGAAATGATGATATGAAGGATAATGTTAGCAGATCTTACTGTTGCATATGTTTAGCTTAATGTTGCCTCCATTCTATTCACAAATCTCACACATTGATTTCAAGTCTTAAGTGCTTGAGCACATCTTTAAAAAAACTAAAGTATTTTTCTATCATTCTGTCGATAATTTTGTGAAGTTGTGTGAAAATAGGGGTCAAGGATTAAACAAACTGTGACACAACAAACAGCATCGGCACTGTCTGATGCAGACACACAAACAAACATCCCCTAGGAGAAAGGAAGTCTGTGAAAATATCAGCCACTAAGCATTTTCAGGTCTTTTTTTCTGAGTATTAGAAAAAAAGCATATTCAAAGCTGCAAATAACAGACTATGCATTTCATTTCATGCATCATATAAAATATTAGTTATTCTTCAGTATATTTACAGTATATATTACACATGATATTCTGTACAGTCAAAGTTCAATCTACACCACATTCTTAAAAATATTTTCTGACCCATAATTAGTTTTACAAGAAAAACATACAAAACAAACAATTGGTTGTTTTGTAGGACGTCCTCGAAGTGAAGATCTCCACCGCACTGACGGGAGAACTGTGAAATAATCCTGTGAGGGTGACTAGAGCACACATGCGCGCCTGCACACACACACACACCCAAACACAGACACACACGACACAAGGGGAGGCGTAAGGGGGAGTCTTTTGCAGGCCTTGTATGGCCCTGTTTTCTTGGAGGGAAGGCTTCATTCCACAGCCAAACCTGCTGCCACAGCAAGCCCCATCCCGGGTTCTCTGGTGTACTCTGGGCTCAGGAGTGAAGTGCAAACAGCACAAGATTCGCGTGAGAGAAGCAGAGCAACAGAGTGTCCACTTCTCATCCTCTGAGGTTTCAGTGGTGCACTTTCAGCAGAACTGCACTTTACACTCCCATCAACCACACCTGAGTTTGGCTAACTGCACTTCTGATAGGCTTGGGCTAGTTACTGCGGCTGTGTCGCTGAGCGGTCAGACAAACTATCTGCTCTGTGAGGAGCCAGCTGCTGTTGCTGCTTTTGTTGTAACTGCTTCTGCTGTGTTTGATGCTGTTGCTGCTGCTGTTGGGCTGCTGCAGTGAAGGTACCCTGCTGCTGCAAAGGGAACGCTGCCTGCAGGATCAGCTGGGTGGACTGGTTTCCATGAAGGAGTCGAGGAGCCTTAAGTGAAAAAGTTACATTAGCTTAGTCGGCACAGCCTAACGAGCCAAGATGTAACTTAAAGCTGCAGTAACTAGGACTCTGCTGATTCACTGTAAAGCAAGAAAGGCAGGCAAATCAGTGTCTGTGTAATGGCTGAACAATACACAGACACTGAGACATGAGTGCGCATGCTGCGTTCTTCATGCTCTATTCAGGGTGGTCCCTTGGCTAAACCAGAGGATTTCTAACAATTTAAAAGTATCTGAAGCAGACCATTATTTAGAGATTACAGATTATTGAAATGTAATAGACTACAACAAGCAAAAGATCTGGACCGCTATGTCTCACCATACTTAGCCTTATGATTGTAGTGCGACCAAAAAAAACATTTGTTAGACAGGCTTTTGGAGGCCATCAGTCAAAGCATATCAGTTCCTCCTCGTATACTAATTATATAAAAAAATAGTAACTTGTGGCATTAAGTTAAACTTTAATTTCTAGATCTAATTTGTCATCCACCATCCTCTTGTTGTGGTTAGAGTCCGATTGAACAGTGAGTTGTGATATGGAAATGAAACATCGTTGTTGTCAACAGGAATTCATCTAAACTAAGCTGCATCTTTCAACATTGTATTTTAATCAAAATCACATTTTGAAAATGTCCTCGTCTGTCAACAGATCTGAAAAAAAATATTCACATTCAACTCCATCTCCTGTGTCAAGTTCTTTGAGCATACAAAGAATTTTCAATTTATATAAAATAAAATTCATTAGGATATTTTAAATCATGTAAACAGCAAGCTGCCTGTATGCGAGCCAACTTCATACAGTAAAACTTCACCTGATAAGTGGTTACTGTGTCAGTGTTACCTGTAGGAACTGTGTTTGCTGCTGGGTCAGTGGAGCTTGCCCTTGCTGCATGGCTGTGACCTGAGACTGCGGTTGAATCTGTTGCTCCTGTTGCTGTTGCTGTTGCGGCGCCTGTTGGGAAATGCTAATTGTCTGCGTCTGGCCCTGCTGCGGTGCAAAGGCCGTCACCACTTGACCCATAAACATGGTTGTGGGGACCATAACTGCCCCACATGTCATCTGCCCTGTCACTAGCTTGGTGAGCAGCTGGGGGCCTGCAGGAAACCTGTAAGGTTCAGGAAGTTAGTCAGGTCTGATAAGTCTAATTAACCCAAATTGACATAAGGTCAATATATATGACCTTTTTTCACTATAAAAGTGCACTGTATCTAAACTAGTACTACATTAAATTGAAGTATTATGCACCACAGAGGGTGCCATCAATGAACTCGAGCACTACTTAATAACATTTTCATTATGAAGAAATATAACAAATAGATTTAGGTGAAGATTCACACCTAATCTGAGCCGAACGGTCCTGTGCAAATGTTGCCACAGCAGGAGTGTTGGGTCCAGTATTCTGCGCCAGGCTTGTGGCAATCTGAACCACGTTAGCAGGACTTTGCTGAGGGATCATCATTGTGTTGTAGAGAGATGCAGGCAGTGGATTCTGTTGAGGCTGCACTGTGTGCGACGACCTCTGAGGCTGAAATAAACAGAACCGGAGTCTATGACACGAGCATGCTGAATGGAAAAATCTATAACAAACACAGCTAAGCTATGAATTCAGCGTGTCAGTGAGAGGCAAAATGAGAACCGTTTAGCCTGTCTGACCTGCGAGAGTGCTGTGTTCTGTTCCCGTAGGAGTGTTTGCTGCTGGGATGGGGGCTGCACAGCATGTTGTTGCTGTATGCTGTTTTGCAGAGATCCTGCAGAAACCACCTGGCCCTGCATGCTGAGTGTACCCCCCTGCTGCCCACCATTCCCCTGGGCCATCTGTACAGAGCTCACATTTAGTCCTCCAGGCCCTTTCTGCAGGAACATCTGAGATACACATCACACATTCGAACTCCAGCTCTAATTATAACAGCAACACATCCATCATGTAAGCTGAATATAAAACAATTAAAAAGAAAACCTTTCATATATTTACTAGGCTATGTAATCATTCATTTGCAACACTTGTGCGCAGCTCTTCAGTCCTACCTGCAGACTCTGTCCCTGCACCCTCTGTAGCTCGTCCTGGATCTGCCGCAGCTCATCCTGCTGCCGCTGAATGTTGGCCTCGATCATTCTGGTCCTCTGCTCCAGCTGGTCTTTCAGGTGCTGCATGGCTTCTAACTGGCTGGAGAACTGGACCATTGACTGTTAAAGAATAAAGACATAACAGTATGGCAGTTTATTTTAAATGTTCCATACGTATATTTTACAAATTGTTAAGGCTCAGGTCACATTCTCTGAGTACAAACAACTTCTTGCATGCTGACCACAGAACACATTTTAACCAACAGTGACCACTGGCTTAAAAATGTAACCAATTCAAACTGCAGCTCCAAGAATATCTGCTTAACGTTGGCAATAAAAGCAAGTGAATTTGTGAACACCCATAAAATTCTCAGCTTTAAAGCAAAAATAAACATATTTACAGCCTGCAAACTTTCCTTTGTTCTCTACAGCCAACTGACGGTTCATGACAACTGTGTGCAGGGGCTATATTTTTATTTAACTCACCTACATTTTTTAAAGACTTAAAAATCCAACATGCTGACGGTCAGACTACAGGCTACAGTAGTCCACAAACCAATAGGTGGCATCATAGGGACTACGTCTACGTTTTATATATAAATATAGGCATTCCTGGGTTAACAGCCCCATCATGTCAGTGCGTGGGAGCTATACAGAGCTTTGCAGATCCATGTTCATTGGCTGTCCCATGTCATAAGGCAGTGTCAAACAGACACATAGGCTACTCTTGTTCATAATTGTGCTGTTGGACCTTCAGTTTATCAAGTGCCAGACATAAGACATGATGGATAAAGAAGTTCTTTATAGTGAAGTGAAACTGAGCATTAAAAAAACAAACAAACAAACAAAAAAACGCTGTCCACTGCAGTCATTGTCTGCTAGTTATACTTAAGAATCAGCAATATTAGACAATAAAAAAAATGACGTGAATATCTTACTTGGTTGTTGGTCGGAACTTGTTGCTGTTGCTGCTGTTGTTGTTGCTGTTGCTGCTGTTGTGGCTGCTGCGGCTGTTGTTGTGAAACCATGGATGACGCCACGTTCTGTCCTGTATTTTGGGAACTCATCGACTGCTGATGGAAATAAAGACACCAAACAAAAGTCCTAAGTCCTAATGAAATCCCTCATGACCCAGAATACAGGTATCGTGAAATTTAAGACCAGGGCGTGTGCGCTTGTCCATCCACTGACCTGACTGCTGATAGATGATCTCCGTTGTGATGTCATCTCCACAGCAGAGACCGACTGGCGACCTGGTGTACTCCTATCTCCCTGAAGCTTCATTTGTGATGCTAAAGGGCAAATATAAACATGATGCTCAGATAATAATAATAAAAAAAGAAATAGTTAATATACATCAAGCTTTGCTCAGTAGTGAACAGATGCTTGTACTTACAGGCTGGGTCAGACACAGCCGTGTGGGAAGATTTACGTGAGCTGCGAGACGAGGCCGATGGGGTCCGACTGTGGTCAAATCGCTCTAAGGCCTCTTTCAAGCTGAAAGTGTTGAGCTGGGACTCAGAGCCTGAATCCTGGGATTGCTGCAAACAATGCATTGTCACAAGGTCACTATGCTGTCCACTCTTTAATTTTTACAAATCATACCTCATGTTGGTCTGACCTTCTCAGCGGTGATTTGAGGTGGTGATTCTTCAATTCCCAGCTCTCTGCGCTGTTCTGCTCTTACTTCAGCATAACTGCAGCGCAAAGACAATTAATGACACACACAGTTAGGGTTGGACACAACTTTCATAATTATGGCTCTGGAAATCACCAGAATACACCTGAATTTAAACAATTAAATTCAAGTTCAGACTTTCTGATTTCAAAGTTTGAACAGAAGTATATGGAAAATTAACAAATCATGACTTTTTTAAATATAAAGTTTAATACAATTGTAATACTACTACTACTACTACTACTACTAATAATAATATATATATTGCTGCATTTGGCTGCCTCTTATACATTTCAATATGTAAAAATATTTCCAGTAACTTTTGTCTACTCCATAGTAATAAAAACACCACATCACTGAAAGCAAAGCATGTCATTATACTACCTCTAGGGTTTTACAGAGGACTGTATGTTTTAGCTCGTGAGCAATGTCATATCAAAGGGTCAAGAGGGAAATCTTCATGCACCTTACGACCGTGTGTGTGCAGACAATGAACTCTGGCCTGGAGTTCCACTGGTGATAAGTAATGTAGTAATGGGTCTGAAGCCAAATCCATTGCTGCCCTTTGGTGAGGAATCTGTAGTAGCAGGACTTTCCTTTCCCATATTGCATTACTACACAGAAGCAAAGAGAAGATTTCAATGCTCTGCTTTGGAAGCTCGAGAGGAAGTTGATAACTGGAGTTGACCATGCTTCAGTGATCGCTGACAGAAGTGTACTCACAGTGTTCGTGACACTTGGCTAGTGTCTCAAGGTCATCTACATGATAGTAGTCATATCCTGATGTACCCAGGACCTCAAATGGGAGGTAACCTATGATGGGCGGAGCTCTGGACAAACACAGTAAACGTTATTGAAATGATTAACTGGAAGTCAATCAGGAAATGTCTTGTTCTTACGTTAAGTCATACATCCAGCAATATTTACCCCTAAATGACAACATGAAGCAATAAGGGAGTATGTATGCATGTAGCTTCACCTGATGCTTTCACAGCATAAGGATAATAAGTGTCTTTCTAAATGGTTCAGGGTAGCATGCCTAAACATTTTCAGTAATGAGAGTTGGGATAATTTGCTACTCCCAGCTCTCACCACTCACCAGGATGAAATGTCTGTATTCAGATATACAGTTTACCTTTCTACCAGCCCAGAAGAGAATCTTGTTGTAATGTTTAATGAGACTGATAAAGCTGATAAAGCTTCTTTTTTTTTTTTTATCCCTGAATAAGATCATTGAGCTTTTGTAACTATGAGAGCCAACTAAATTAGCTACTGGTTACAGTTATACCTGCAGTTCATTTCATTTGGCCTGTCCCAAGGAAAACACATTGCGACGCCGTTGTTCTGACTTCATGTTCACACTTTTTTTTCAAAACATATTAAGTGGCGTAAGCTTGAAGGAGGAGCTTCAGCCCTCAGGCTATCTGACTTCTGAACTACCTACTATTCTTATCTTACACACCTTAACCTTGGACTTCTATCATTCAACCTTAACTGAAAGACATTTGCACGTCACACTGTTTATTGCATCATTACGCAGGCATTATTTCGACACTGATTATTATTTCGACACGGATTAGGATTTTTATTATTATTCTTCCATGCTGGAGACAGCTGTGGCCAGCTGTGGCCAGAACGGATCTTTTGGGTTGTCTATCCCATTCACGTAATATATCAGGAATGCCTGGAGGGAATGTCGTCACATCTGGGATAAATATTAACTTTGAATTAAGGATGAACTCATTAAAATTTACTAATTTTTTTTGGACAAAGGTCACTCTGATCTACCAAAACGAGATTTCAGCCAAAACTCAGGAATGTCTGCACTAATTATGAAACACATCTTTGAAATAATAAAATTATTAAGTTACTCCATTTTATTTTTATAAAGGTAAAAAATTAGCTACACTGAAACATAACCTAGGATATCAACTGAAACGTGCATGGTTTCAGAGGCATACAAAAGTGAATGCTTGCTTACTTTCAAATCCTCTTATCCCCCCCAAACATCTATTTGTATAAGAAAATATATAAATATTCCAGATTCATGAGCTTACAAACAATATGTTGTACAATATGTAGTTGTGTACATAGTCAACAAAAACAAATATCAATCCTGAAGTTAGAGTGACTGACAGGTTTTGGATAGTGTTCGTGATATCACCCCGAGTCATCAGCACCATGTGGAAGCCCCGTGGGAAATAAAGCAAAAATGCTGGTGACCGATAGAGGGTCAGGTTGACCTCACTCTTCTTTTATAATAATAATTATGTTTCCTGACCACAAGCCTTCATAAAAGCAAGCCTGCTGTGTAATAAATAATGACAGAAGTGTTACAAAACACGAGTTTTTTTCGATTTGGTCTCTCACAAAAATCAAAGATTCTGATTTAACAAAAAAGCCACGCAGTCACATACCGTAACCATGGTTAAAAAAAAGAGGTCATTCTTTATAAATATAGGTCAGCAACTTTCACGCCAAATCAAGTAGGTTAGGTTTGAATAAACACTTAATACTGATGCATTGTAGCACAAACTGAAAATTAAGTTATGCATTTACACTGATAAATTGGAAAAGAATTACCTGTGGTCCAGGAAGAGAAATTTCCACTCTAAACTATGTCTGGATGTAAATTCCTCATTAGGCTCTTCTACTGTGCACATCTCCTATTGGTTCAAGGGGAGAAAACAGAATTTAGAAGAAATAAATATACACATATAAAACTAAATTTTTTAACCACAGACTGAACCTACTCGAGTCCAACTCTAAACTACACACAGTATACTATATTGTCTTAAAACGAGCCTTTTAAACTTGTGCAGTATGACAAATTACATGATCAATCATCCCTGTTTGTTCAGCAATACAAGTTCTGGTTTATTTTCAACTTATTTTATCCATTTAGGTTCTGCCATCTCCAGTAAAACAGCCCAGGTTTCTACGACAGTGATATGTCAGCATAACCCCTCCCCCATTTTTAAATGAGGTAAAAAAGTTATTCCCAGCAGAGGCATGAGGGAACTACACATGATAAATGACAAGGGCCCAAATCATTTTTCCTCAGGTGACCATTACTGCTGAGCCCTGTCCTAATTAAAGCTACCTTAAGAGCCCTAAAGCAAGAAACCGAATGTGTGTCAACCAGATAAAAGGAGAAGCAGTTAAAGATTCTCACCTTGATAAACTGTGGCTTGGCTAGCCTCACAGTGGCTATGAGACACACTCTGTCTTCAAAGGCAGAGTGAAGTGATCGCTGGATCACTCCATCGAAACCATTTCGGGTACAGTTAGGCACTGGTAAAAAAGAATGGGAACAAAGCAAAGTTAATCCTTTCACACAACATCTCTGCTCTACATTCTGACTCCGTGTACTGTAACTTACCATTATTCAGGGACTTGAAGTTTCCAATAAACTTTACATATTCATACACGGGGGGCTCTTTGGGGTCGATTGTCCCTCGGAGCATGTGGCAACAGAACTCTAGCTGATTTTTTGCTATAAGAATAATAATAATAATAATAGCTTAAACATAAGAATTGAAGAACAAAAACAGCAGCTGAAGACAGATAACATATCCAACCTACTTTTAAGATACTCAGGTGTCAATGTTTCTCCTTCCATGACATGAGAGGACAGAGCCTTGTACACCTCTGAATGCTCCCCCACAGGCAAGAAATTTAACAAGTTCTGATCAACAAGATCAGACTGGGGAGAAACAAAACCAATGAATATGTTTATTACCAAATGTTTCATCAGTGAACTACTGACTTTATCTATTATTTAAAGCTTATACTCACTGGTAAATGTTCTAGTAGGGAAGTCACACTCTCAGAGACATAGATTATATTCCCATCAGCCATAATTGCAAGGAAAAATCCATCTAACGCCTAATAGAAAAAAAGGTTAGATAATATTTCATCTATGTTTTTGCATAGAAACACAAGCAAAATAAGTGCAAGAAACTGCCTTACCTCCAACATCAGCTGAGTGAACTCTTCATTACTAAGAAAAGGAGGTTTCCAGTCTTGTCTGATCTCAGTTGACTCTGACTGAGCTGCGATTTCTGATAAAGTAGACATAACGCATGTAACTTATAACTCTGTGAATTTAAAAAGGCACCCATTATGTTTTACCTTATGGACCATTAAAGTGATCAGTATATGTAATACCAGTAAGTCAAATGTTCATGTTTCAGAATGCACAAAGATCAGTTTCAGCTCATTTTTGTTCTACTTTTGGCTGTGTATGGTGGCCCTAATATGAGTCCACACAGAATTTGTTTGCAAGAGGCAGTCAAACAGAAGCAAGTTGGCTTGAAGAGAAAGAGCTAAAACATTTCATTTTAAACTAAGGATGAACTGAGGGATAAACCCACTACCATTATAATTCATTCTAGTGGTTATTAGAGTTTCTCACCTTTGTGTTTGTGCAGAAAGTCGATACTTTTCTGCAAAATAGTGGACTTGTCCATCTTCCGGGTGTTGCCCGGCAGCATTGTACCCAACTCCTTGATGAGGACATTGAACTGGTCTCTGCGCTTCTTCTCAGACTTGTTACGGGACACGCTGGTTATTTAGAAGAACAAATATTAGTAAAAGTTAGATGACATCTTAACTAGGAACACTTATCAAAATCTTGTTCACTGTAGCTGTAATAATTCAAAACGATATCTAAAATCAAGTCTTGTAACAACTACAATAGCAGTTTTATGGAGGATGTAACTTCACTGAATGCATTTGATATGAAAACAAACCCAAGATCTTACCGTTTTGCTTTGTCCTTTTCATCTTCTTCCATTAACCCATCAAAAATACTACTGTCATCCCTGCAGATTGGACAAACCAACAGTTATATCAGATCCTTTAACATTTACAGTGAGCTCTTTGATAAGAAAATCTCTCCTAGAAAACATGAAGACATCAAACTCAGGCACTGTAAATCCCTAAATTACTTTGATCTTAATCTTCAAAAAAGGAAAAAATGAAATCACTGTTAATTAGATGCATGAGAACTGTGGGCTGAATGTGTTTTTGATTTTCTTCATGTCCCACTATTTTTTTAAATCAACAATAAAAAAAACTAGCCAAATGTTTGACTCACTGGTCAATGCTCGAGGTCATTTTGTATCCTGTTCAGGGTCGCAGTGTCGGTGAGGGGTCTTTTAATCGTGAGGTAGACATTTGTGAATAAACCTTTGAAGAAAAAACACCCATAAAATGGCAGAGTGTCAAAGAATCAAAAAACTTCAGACACGAGCAAAGATGGTAAAGACATTTCACCTTACTGACAGTACAGCCAGTTCTGTGAGAGGATAAGGAAGGTGCTGCTGGGTGAAGGTAGAGTACAGGTGGACACTCTGTGATAGGGGTGTGCTTTTCTGAGTCTTGGAGGATATTCTCTCAAAGTCTCTCTTACCAGGCTGCAGAAAATAGCTAAAAGTTCCTCGGGGTGCTGTGTCTTTTGTCTGCTTAGGGTGTAAGTCTGGCACATGGCAGCAACATCTGAGTCTATGAGACAAAAAGACACAATAACCGAGGCCGTTATTGAAAGATTAGAGAACCATGATATATGAGATTGATTTATATTTTTAAAAAGTAAAAATAAAAAAAACAAGCATTTATAAAAATTCTGCCTACATTTATGCCTGAGGGTTGAAATTACTCCTTATTCTTTCATAAATATAAATACATTATAACAATGGTGGATGCTAATATGATCAACGATCATGTCCCATGTTTGTTTAGATATGCAGCTGTGTGGAGCTCTCTCTCCTCTCTGCAAGGCAGGTAGGTGAGTGTGTTTGCTGCTGAGACCAGGCGAGACTGCTGATTGGCTGGTTTGAAGAAACTGCTGTGTACAGACTGGACAGCCACCCCTTAACCTCCTTGCCTCCTCTCCACTCTATAAAGAGCTAGCAGTTAGGCAGCTAATAGCACTGCGTGTTTGTGTGAGAACACTGGTTCTAAGAGTTGACTCTTAACACTAGGTGTGGAAGTGAGATATAGGTTAAGAGTTCTTGGTTACAGTTTATTTTAATACTACTGTATTATTATTGGCTCTGTATGATGTCAGTGACAGAGGATAAAGCTCAGTTTCAAATGGGAAGGGAGCTAAAACAGCTTATTTCAGAACCAGATGAACTAATGGGCAACACCAAGGTCCAGTATAAGATAAGGTTAAGTTTGAACTGTGAATCCTGCAAAACTGCTTTACCTGAATTCAAGAATAGAACTGTCGACCTGCAATTGTTATTCACTCTTAATGTGGCAGCACAATATCAGCACTCACATCAGCACAGGGAATTTTGCTGTTGCTGTTGAATGTATGACTATAATCACCTGCATCCACCACAGCTTATATTAAGGTGGTGCTTTAATAGGGGTCACATCCTACATGTGCAACAGAGACGCCGAGGAAAGCCAAAGGCTGAAATGAGTCAGTTTCTTTCTGCTGCCATGTAATATTAAAACCATTACATATAGTAAATAATTGTGAGTGCTGATGTTCTCATCAATTTATTTTTTTGTGTTTGCAGTGGGTCAGCATCAATGAGACTGTTCTTTTTGTGTAGTATAATTTGGTAATACATCCCTTTACTTTAATAAAAACCAAGTGGAGTTTCGTACTACATCAAATAGTCATTGTGTAGTTTCTTTGGCAATTCTTTGTGTGTTTTGCCAATGAAACAGCAGCAGAATGTGTTGGGTTTGCAATAGCTGTAACCTCAAACAGCTCTGTCACAGAGAGTGAACAGTAAACAGTGAGGCTGTTATCAATTACATAAAATTACACTGGATTATATGCTCCATTGCTAACTGCAAATCACCCAAGCAATCTAAAGTAAGTGTGGCAAAAGTGGACTCTAAATACTAACAAACTCAAACAACAAAAACAAAAAGTAAAATAAAAAAATATTAATAGATGTGCAGTTGCACAAAAAAAGAAAAAAAAAATCCTGTGGATTACAATTTTTGAATTAATTACTTAAATTGACGTTTGATCGTCATAGTCATAACTGTAATCAAATACATTATGGTTTAACTACAAACCTACTTTTTTAGGCCATTGTAAAAACCTTGGCTAGTAGGGTTTGGCTCGAGTGCAACATCCCAAAAAAAAATGAAAATGGTGACAGAAGTAATTTTAAAAGCGATAAAAAAATTAAAAAAATAAATTAGGGTACTTACTACCAAATATTTGCCTGCTTGTGTGCTGCTGTGTCAGATATACCAGAATCTGTCTTGATTTAAACAAGCCACAAATGCAACCATCAATAACTGAAATACTCTTTCTACCACCCATCTCTACTATCTATTCTCTTTGCCCAGGTACACTAGATTTCAAATTAAAATGAGAAAGCCCGCTGGGTCTCTAGCCTAAATATTTGACCCATTTACTTCATGAACCAGTTACCGTCACAACCTATGTGGGAGGCTTTCTCAACATAACGGCCTATTTGTGTTGGTGAGAAAATCCCTTCAGTGTTTTTCCCCATGAATCTTGGTAGACATAATTTAAAGAGTTTAAATTAGGCCTGTTAACATTTGGTAAAGCCAAAAAGAAGAATTACACCTACACTCACCGATAGAATGAGTGAGTGTAGGTGTATTATTAGAGTAAACAAAGCTCTTCAGTTAATTGAAATTAAAAAGCGAAAATGAATGAAAAAACCAATAAAAATAAAGCTACTTTCAGCAGTTGCCTTATTCACAAGGAGTCACCACAGAGGTAGCATTACATATTTAAACTGAATCAAGCAATCAACCCACCCTTGAAATCAACTAAAACTAAAGTGTATTGAAAATTAAAGCTAAAAAAAAAACAATAATAATAAACATAACTCTGGATCCAATATGCATATTTATGGTACGTTTCAAAAAATATACATCAGCCACCTCACATAATTAAAATATAGTTCTTTTTAATGTGATTTAAAATATTTCTGTCTTATTTACTTTTCATATTCCATTGAAATCTAGTCATCAAAGTGTTGCAATTCAGAAAATGCATTGTAAAAAGAGTATCATGAGCTAGAGCTTCAATGTGCACATTTTCATTCAGTAATTTGTTCTTTCCATTCATTTAAAGTTTATATCTTATTTAGCAGCACAGTGGTTAGCACTGTTGCCGCACAGCAAGAAGGTCCTGAGATCAATTCCACCATCAGGGTCTTTCTGTGTGGAGTTTGCATGTTCTCCCCGTGTTTGCGTGGGTTCCCTCCGGGTACTCCAGCTTCCTCCCACAGTCCAAAGACATGCAGCTTGTGGGGATAGGTTAATTGATTAGTCTAAATTGCCTATAGGTGTGAATGCGGGAGTGAGTGTCAGTGCGAATGATTGTCTGGCTCTGTGTGTTAGCCCTGCGACAGACTGGCGACCTGTCCAGGGTGTACCCCGCCTCTCGCCCTATGACAGCTGGGATAGCCCCCCCACCCGCCACACTGAAAAGAAGAAGCGGATGGATCTTATTTATTTATATGTACAGGATTTTTGGTTTTTGTCAAAAGGGGGGGACTACAAATAATGACATAAAAACAATTTTCACCATCATATATGGTGATGCCAGAACTTCAGAAGCCTGAAACATTTTTAAACAGATGCAAACACTGTCTACTTAAAACTGATTAATAAAGTACACAAATAACTGAGATATGAACTAGCAGGTATAGTACGTGTGTAATGGAAACTTCAGTCAGCAATGACAATACTGGTTTAAAAAAAGGATTTCTATTGGTTGGAATAAACTTGCTGTCAAGTCAATCAAAATAAGGAAGGAAGTTGGCACTGGAAGTGTTTACACCTTAGTGTTGGGACAGTGGAAAAAATGAAGGTAAGAGGGAGGAGTAGGTTCTGTCATGGCCCACTGACTTTCAGCTATGCAGTGTTATTTTACTGCACCCTACATGTGACGCTTTTCACACAAATACATTAGAGAGTGGATGTCTTAACTGAGATTAAACCTTTGTCAACACAAGTGGCCAACTACACATTGGCACAGCACTGTAAAAGGGAGCGGTGAGTTGTAGTAAAGAGCATTGTCTAAAGATTTTGTACCAAAAGACACAAAGAGCTTTTCCTTTTTGGCTGTACATCATCTTAAAAGCAGACAAGCTAAACTGGATTGCAAATTAAGACTGGGGGGGAAAAGGAAAAAAGAAAAAAAAAAGAAAAGGCAACAGAGGCCATCGGATGTAAGACAATTTCATAAATAAATTGGCTATATTAGAGCACAATGAAAGACAGAAAGAAAACATTGTAGTTGAAGCAGTAGCTTTCGGCACAGAGCGAACGTTGTGTAACTGGGAGAACAGGCGTTGTATAACTGTGATGTCATCTGTGCTTCACTGACCTGCTGGCCCAGTGACCTACTTTCCTCCTCCTCCGATCTAACTTAATCACAGCTCCACAAGCAACACCTTCCTCTTCTCACTAATAACACTACACTCTGTCAACACAAATCCTTAGTATTCCACAGCATGTATACTTCACAAAAGGTGTGAGGAGGGAGTCAAACTGCCTGCATCTCACGTTTCCTCATTTAATCACATGATTTGAAAAGGCTTCCTGGTGTTTCCTAAGCCTCAGCGGGGACCAACGTCAAGGAAGAAAGCAATGAAGATGTGCTGCATTTTCATCGGGCTTTAACAACGTCAACCAAACAGCCTCACTCACATATGCATTTTTCACACCGAAACATCTCAAAAAGCACTGACTGACGACAGTCATTTATCATAATTTTTATGTGGCTCACACAACATTGTTGAATGCCTGTATGTGGGTGTGTGCATTCAGATGTAGGGCACCAGAGCTCTGAGGATATGAGTCACTCTGAAGTGGATCTATGGCGCCGCTCGTCACGCACTCCGCCACACCCCGGCGCTGAGATGCCAACACAGCAACTGTGCCAATGGGCAACACCATAGCAACCGGCCTCACCGTGCTGTGTAAAAATAGCTCAGCCGAATTCCTCCGCAGCTGATACTCTCTCCATCATACACTAAGAATTATTAGACTACCGCGAGCGACTCCTTTTGTCATGAACTGGAGTCTGTGGATGTGAAACACTCTGCAGGTTCCACCTGTGCAGCAGTGCAGTAACACATGTGTTCTGTAAACATTACTGCACTGTTGTCTTCATGCAGTGAACATGGCTACGCACCAATTCAAACAGTACTTTTTGTCCCTAACTTATAATAAAGCAGATTCTACTTGTGAGGCAGAGCACTTTTACTTCTCAGTTAAGGGGGTCGTGGAAAGCAGAGAAAAAGAGCCAAAGATCCAAAAATGGATAGAAGATAGAATACAGCAAAAGCAGCTTTCACATATGACTCAGTAAGCTCGGAAATTAACAAAAAAAAATTAACAAAACGCTAGATTACTACAATTTGTCTGACCAGAAATACTCAGTTAAATTATTCTAAAGCCCTGTCCACATATAGAGCAATAAACACAATGCTAACCGTAGGTCACAAGTATGCATTAATGCCTTCAGCTGTGTCGGTAACCCA